ATTGGAAATATTTATACTCATATATACTCATATCTTTTCATTCGTGTTTTTATTGTGAATTTTTTCTCCAAATATTGCATTATTACATGCTATTATTTCACTATAATGTAAACATGTGCTATATGCTGCACTGTGAACTTATTTTTTGGGACATGTGTGCCAAAACAAAAGAAAATCTTTAGTTCACAATTCGTTACTCGCGAATCTTAGCTCGGTCACTTTATGTCGTAATATACATTTTATATATATATAAGATTTAGATTTTTTTGTTCGACGTTGAGACATCTTCTTGAATGTTGATTTTCAGCCAATCGTCGAAATAAAAGAAAACAATAAAATATTTATTTATGCTTTTAGATACTGTAAAAAATTTCAAAAAGGGTTGCTGGATGATGACACACAACCGTGACGAAACGTATAAATAAATATTTTCTTTTATTTCGACGATTGGCTGAAAATCAACATTCAATATATATATATATATATATATATATATATATGTATATAAATATAGATATACAGTGGTGTTGTCGAGCCGGAACATCGTTCCGGCAAATCATTTTTGGGCAGGAACACGTTCCGGCAAAAAAAAAAAAAAAAAATTGCTATATACAAAAAATGATTTAATAAGTGAGTTTTATAATTTAGCTGATTTTTAATAAACTTACCTATTATTATAAAACATACATATATATGTACAAAATGGTTTTGTAATGATTTTTGTTTTTTTTTTCGAACGGAACAGGAACAAATATGAGAACCGGTTTTTTAATTTTAGCATTCCGGTAAAAGAAATATTAGTACAACACTAGTGTATATATATAATATATGTAATATATATATATATAATATATATATATATATATATATGTTATATATATGTATATGTGTATGTAGATATATATGTTGATATATATATATATATATATATATATATATATATATATATTTCAAATTTTATAAGATATGGTCAAACATCTTCATTTTGTATACTCTGAATAATTTTTAAGGTATTTTCTAAATTATCGAATTAGTTTTAATTGATTTATATATAAGTAAGGCTTGGTATGGGACATGAACATGTTATTTATAGGATTGATTATTTATTACTTTGTTATATATTTATGATAATTATTTTGTATATTTGATTAAATATTTTTGTACAATGCAATTAAACCTTATAAGTTTAATTAAGTCAAGTTATGATGGAATACTAATATTTTATGCTCAACTGTATATATCAAATATATTTGTTAGTATTTAGTTTGAAACAAATGCTGGGTGTTAAGCGTTATTCCGTATATAAACATCCTTATGATCAAGCCATATGTTTATTGATAATTTGAACCCAAAAAATGTGCATATTAGTTAGTTTTTAGCTCACCCCCCCCTGCGCCCTCGCACACATGGATTTTTTCGCAAAAGAATAAGGTCACCTCAATATATATATATATATATATATATATATATATATATATATATACATATGGAATAATATTTATTTAAATGGACCTGCACAGTGATTCCACACATAATTATGAGCTTTTAGCAATTTTTTTTTTAATTATTTTAAATATTCAATGAAAGATTTTGCGGTCAATACCTGTTCTATCGAAATTCAAATATCAGAAAATTTATGCTTTGTGGAAAAGTTTTTATATACGATTTGCTAACAGCTTTGCAAAGAAATTATTAGATGCTATAGATAATTTTTTTTTCAATATTATAGTAGTTGGTATCATTAATCATTGCTACTTGTATAAATAATTCCAAGCGTACTGAGGTTGAATAATACTTTGGTTATGATTAAATTTATTGGTATAAATTAATTAATGATTTCAAATTAATTTTTGAAATAAATTAATTTTTTGGTGGATTTCATTAATATAAATTAGTGTAAAAAGGTTGTGTGCTTATATTTATAACCATACACTTGGCCTATATGTTCAAAATAATGTCCTGATAAGTAATTATAAAATTTATATTTATAAGGATGAGTGTAAAATAGTTTATAAATCATTAAGATAAATAACAATTGTGTATATAGTTTTTCCTTTTATTAAATTTGAGATAAGCTTCTTCAATCTGTAAAAATAAATGGCATAAACTTAAAGTCACTGATTGTTTGTTATTTTGTTCAATATTTTTCTATATCTACTTATATTATTTACAAAATATGTGTTGGTCATCATCTTATTCCAATATTGACTAGGGTCGTCATGATTATTTTGTTTCATGATTGTACTAATAATTGCACATTTTCTAGTAAACCACAATACGTTATAAAACCTTTAATATTGAAAAATTGAAATTTTTGAAATAATAAAAATCCTTCGAGCAGGCCCGAGTTTATTATGTATTCTAAAAGCTGTATAAATTTCATTAAAATTTACATAAGCGGTTTTTGAGTTACAGTTGTCACCAGTTCAAAAAACATAGTTTTGAGAAAAACGCAAAAACGAAAAATTGTATTGTCTGTTCTGACAGAAAAGCATTAAGGTGCGTCCACACCTAACGAACGAACATGTCGAACAAGAAAATACAAAGAAGAACGAACAGGAACACGAACGAAAGCGAAAAATTCCAAACAAACGCCTCAAAGCAGTGAGGGCTTGAATCTTTTTGTTCGAGGATGTACCGTGAAACGTCAGATTTATTATTTAAAGTGGCGGGAAAGAGCAAAATTATTTAAAGTCATCAAATTTACAAAATTTGTCAATAACAGCAATATCTTATAATAAACACAACATAAACTAATGCAGGACTGCACATTTGAACGTCAAAAAAGAAAAATGTTTGTCTACATTCGTGGTAGCGTTAACACTGCACATACGAGTTCATACATGAACCAACAATTCCCTTTGATGTACCGACAAGTTGCGGAACATTGCTCACCATGTTTGTTTATGTTCGTTCGTGATCGTTGTGGCGTCCACACTATGCTGTTGCCGTTCGTTCTGGTACGTTTATCTATGTTCGTTCGTGTTCGTTCGTTAGGTGTGGGCGCACCTTAATAGTTCATCAGTCATTGTGGAAGTTTCCAAAATTTCTATGCCTACAAAGCATTCTGGCCTCCCAAGTGTTCTTGTTGGCGCGCTGATCTGCCACTTTTACACGTGCAGCATCCTATTTTTCAGTATAATTATACCCACAATTAGGTCCTAGGGTATTCGTAATCAATAATAATGATTATGGATATGTAGTCATCAGCAATTTGTACGATAGTAAAATTAGTATTCACGGTTTTTGGGCATATTTTTCACACTAGTTGGTTGAAGCTCTTATTTTTTTCTAATTATGAATTCAGTCTTGAACTATACATCTTGAAAGTAAATTATCATTGCTGAGATTGTCGTGAATCGGTTTAATAGCTTTTAAAACATCATGAGTATAAGTATCGAGCTCTCCACTTGCTTCAGCGCGCTGGTAAGAGTCCAATAACTTAAAAAGTAATTATCGGATCAAATTGAAATTTTCTAGAGAATATTTTCACTTAACAAAAATGCAAAAAAAACAAAAACAAATTTATATTATTCATAAATTTTAATAATAACTAGTGGGGTGGGTGGCATCGTGCCTTAAGGCAAATTGCTGGAACTTCCCGTACCGTAACGAAATGTTCGAGGAATATTGAATGTTTTCAAATAGATTATTATAAATATTGTAACATTGTCTAATATTTATAAGAATTGAATTATTTTTGATATACAAAAAATTAAAAAAAAATAAATAAAATGGAACAAAAATTTTTTTTCCAAAATCAATTATTTTGTTAAGACAAGCAGAAAGTTCTTTGAATCAATTGAATCGGACGCTTAGTTCTCTCAAAAACTGCCATTTTTTGTACATTTAGCTATGTATCTCCGAAATGGCTGGGCCTACCTTTGCGAAAAACTAATAACCCCTTCTCCCAGTTATTACTAATTGAATGTTTTTTAGATCATTCAAACCGGATGCTCCGTTCTCTCAAAAACTCGATTTCTATTTTCTGCACTCTTTGCTCCCTATCTCCGTAACTGCTGGACCTGCCTTTGCCAAAAACTAATCAGCACATCTCCTTATCAATAGGAATCGAATGTTTTTTAAACCATTCAAATCGGTTGATCCGTACGCCCGAAAAGTGGGCGAAAATTTGTATCCATACATACATACACACACACACACACATCCATTTTTTCTGAAGTATGCCAAAATGTTCAGAAACCTTCAAAACGTCGAGAAATGTAAAAAATTTCAATTCCGATTTTCGGCCCATTACAATAACTTACCCTACGGGAAGTTAAAAAAGTCAAAATATGAATAGGTTAACCGTTGGGATATCATCTGAAAATATGGCGTAAAGAGAAGTGCTCGAACTTTTCTTTCTCCTAGCCATACTCTTCTTTTATCTATGGTTCGAGCACTTCGAGCTCATAGAACGAAAATTCTGATTACTGTTTTAATTTAATTATGCAGAGCCTTGAATGCAATACATGCGGAAAAGGCGGGGGCACGGGCACGCCTTACCCTAGAGACCACTCTTCTTTTAGACAATATAATGGCCCGCTCCATTGCACGAATTCGTACGGCGAATCTGTTCGCAAAGTGCGCAGACAGAAATTTTGCAAGCAAAAGCAAATCACGCGCATGTCAAAAACAGCATTCGCCGTGCGCGTTCGTGCAGTGGAGACGGGCCATAATAAATCGCCTTACTTTCGTGGGGACAATATAATAATACGCCTTACTTTCGTGGAGAGCTATTTGGATATGGAATTTACAAGTTTTTTCAATATCATACAATAAATGTGTAATTTATTTGCATCTTATACTCATCTGAGCAGGCATATACGCCTAGACAATATTAGAATACCTCGCGTTCATATCTTTTATTTAGAACCCCAGGACCGGCCCTGATTATAAGTTTAGTCAAATGGTTGGCAGCACTGTCGTTTGACATATTTCAACTTTCGACATGAGAAAATAATTGTGTTGATTGGTACCTCTGCAAAATAATTCTAAATAAAAACATTGAAAATGTTATGAATGGTTATTTCAAAAACGTAGAAAATTCAAAATAAATCAGATTTAATTTAGTATTTAATACTATTTTAATAACTTGTATCGGAGTATTAGGCTTTATTGCCTGCAATGCCAATAAAAATTTTGCGTTGTGGTTAATAGTGCGCAATGTAGTCTTACGTTGATTAACCTTACAGATCAAGATTTATTGACCAAACAAATGAAGTTTTTGTGTAGTAACAAAAATGGATAAACCGCAACTGATTGCTCATTTAGAAAAATCTGTAACATATACAATATTTGATACAAAATGGATACCATGTTCAGCAAAATTTGTTGTTCTTGGGTCTACTCCTCGAGGGACAGGCATGGTGCAAATATATGAAATAAATGCAGGAAAACTGGAGTTACTGAAGGAGTTTGAGAAAAAATGTAGTTTTAAATGTGCAACTTTTGGGGCTTCAAATTTACATGACAGAAATTTAGCTACAGGAGATTTTAGTGGCCGACTTCAAATATGGTAAAAATATTTTTGTGGACATAAATAAATGTATATACACCTAAGTCTGTTTTTACACGGTCTTTTTGTACACGGTTTTGATATAACACGGTTTGAAAATTGAATATTTTTAATTTTTTACACGAATTTATTCCATTTAGCACGATTTGAAATTTTATGTACCTAAATTTTTTTTGTCAAATTAAATTTTTGCGAAGTATGTTCATATCACAAAAAAGTATTTATGAAAGAAAAAAGTCTGAAACCATCGATAGTATCGATAATTTGCGAACACTAGCTTAAAGATTTAAGTGAATTCCCCTTTAGCGCGTACAAACAATTTTTACTGGTCAAAGCAAATGTGAATAGCACTAATTTAATTCTTATTCTTAAAAATTCTTGTTTTTCACCAATTTTAATAGGTTTTAGAGATTAGGAACAAATCACCCATTTTTGTATAAGATCAATGTCTTTTTTTACACGTTTTTTTTTTACACGGCTTCTTCTGGAACCAATCTCCGTGTAAAAACAGATTTAGGTGTATATATATATATATATATATATATATATATATATTAATTATTTTAATTTTACAATTTTTTTAAAATCTTCATAACTCGACGTTTTATCAATTTTTTATTTTATATTTATTTTTTTGTTGCAAATTTGTGTGTGTTTTTGTGTTATTTTTCAAAATGTATTTGTATGCACTGAAGATGGGTCAAATCAAGACCCGAAACGTATGTTCTCTTAATAAAAACATTTTTCAATAAAACTTTTTTAATTACTGGATGGATGCCCAAGAAACAATTTTATCATACATATATATATATATATATATATATATATATATATATATATATACATACATACACATATCAAATACTTTTAGGGATCTTGAAGATACTAATATACCTGTGTATTCTGAAGAAGCCCATCAAGATATTATAAATTCCATTGATGGAGTAGGTGGAACTACAATCAATTGTGGTGCACCTGAACTGGTTACTGGGAGTCGAGATGGTACAAATTCAAATATATATTTTGAATCCTTTTATGATTTTATATATCTTTAACTTTTTAAACCATATCTGACAAATGTTCAATTACATTAATTATTTAAATAAAATAGCAGTTTCATATTCCTTTATCATACACCCACATATTCCTTTATCATAGTTTATATAAATCAATATAAATAGTTTGAAAATTATAAGTATAGTGAGTATATTTTTACTTATAATTTCTAAGCTATTCTTGCGCAAATAAATTAAAGCTTCTTATATACAAATTAAATTTGAAAATTTATTGAAATGTGTATCTACATTTAATTTATTTGAGAAATTTGATTCAAATCAAGGTGCAGTTAAAGTTTGGGATTTAAGGCAAAAAGGTGCACCAGTAGCCGTAATGGAGCCTTCTAGAGATGATCTACGAAGAGATTGTTGGTGTGTTGCATTTGGGGACAGTTATAATCAGGAAGATCGATCTGTGTGTGCGGGATATGATAATGGAGATATTAAGATGTTTGATTTGCGCAGAATGAAGGTTCTTTTTCACCCAAATTATATTATTATACATACATGTATATATATATATATATATATATATATATATATATATATATATATATATATATAATGAATGACTAAATTAATATTTACATACTATGGCGAATGGAATAGATGAACTATAATTTAGTCTTTATAATACTCATAAATTATGAAATAAACTTATTATTACCTTATTTTAGGTTCGCTGGGAAACCAATGTTCGTAATGGAATATGTGGATTAGAATTTGACCGAAAAGATATTCCAATGAATAAACTGGTTTGTGGGACCTTAGAAGGTGGTTTACATTGCTGGGATTTAAGAACACAACATCCTGAAAAGGGTTTTGCTTGTGTAACAGAAAAAGGAGCAGGTGGAGGCTATGGAACAGGTGTACATGGGAATAAATCAAGAGCTACAGTGTGGCTTGCTAAACATTTACCTCAAAATAGAGAAATATTTGCTAGCTGTGGGGGCTCTGGCAGCGTGAGGGTTTGGAAATAGTATGTATTTTTGGGCTTAACTTGAAAACTTTAACTTTTGTCTTACATGAAATTGTATCAAGTAATAATTTTATGTCTTAATGATTATGTGTATAAGAATATCTGCTCATACGTTTTTGTTATAGCGGATAGAAATTTAGTATATATTTACTTGATTTTAAAGTATTGCCCAGGTAATAGTAAGAATCTTGAGAAATAAAACAAAGCTCTAATGTGATTATGAATTTGTGTGCTGATGGAGTGAATTTTTTTTTCTTCATTTCAAAGCTATCAAGATGCTGAGTTTCTTCTTTGTTTTAATATTATTATAGAATTAGATAAATATGATTTTACATGATTTATTTTTCATATATATCTTGCTTAAAATATGTACAAACATATATATGTTATATTAGGTATTCCATGGTGTGATGGTCGAACATGCGGACTCGTGTGGACGAGGTCGTGAGTTCGAAATTCCGCTCTGGATAACTTGATATATTGCAGTAGTGATACCAATTTTCACTTAAAAATATAGATAAAAAATATGTTTCCAATTGAAAACTACTGCACTGTGAAATGGCAATGGTAAATTTCTCACACCATTTTTTCTTGCATCGAGTTGGAGTTTAACTCAGCTCATGGACCTGCCCTAGAGCAGTACTACCCATTATATATATATATATATATATATATATATATATATACAGGGCCGGATTTAGAAATTTGGCGCCCCGGGGCACTGACAAAAATGCCGCCCCATCTCTGAAATTTTACGAACTTTCGCACTTTTTTTTAAAGCAATCGCGCTGCTTCAGTTGCGTAGGGACAAAATATAGAAGCGCGTAAGCGCCGCGTCGCAGTTAACTGATAAACAATGTTACAGAACGCATATAAATGTAAACAAAATTTATGCTTATTATTATAATATCTTTAAAATATCTGATAATTTAATGCGCATATGTCTTATGATCACTTTTGTCCGCCAAATGTTTCTTTCTCAACTTTTTTATTGGATCATCGAAACCGCTAAACCTGCCCCCACAAATCTAAGCAGTTATTTATTCTGTAATTTGTCAGACAATGCCATGAGTCAGTAGTAAGCTTGGAAGTGCACAAATTCGTCATTTTAAGAGGGCTCGAGAACTGAAGAACTTATATTTTTCTTAAACTTTCAGCTTGTTTACGGATCTTTATATTAGCCAAATTGCCAAATTTGATAACTTATTAACCACTTTGATAATTTACGTTCGGAGAGAGAGGCAAGGCAAAATAATAAATTTTAGTTATCGGTTTTTTCAATCCAAATTTTGCATTGCAATCGCATTATATTTTATTAATTATATTTCTTGAAATAAAAAATGTTGTTAAAAAAAGTTGATTATATTGTGTAGAATTTTTTTTCTCACTATCCAAATTTTGCCGCCCCCCAAAATTTGCCGCCCTGGGCGGTAGCCCCGATTGCCCCTACTGTAAATCCAGCACTGTATATATATACATAGTCTTTTGAGATAGGGCACAAATTATCAATATGTCAAAAATACTCCTTGAACCATAAATTGATTATTTGTTTCAATTTTAAGGCTAACAAATTATTTTTATAAAATTTATATGTTCATAAGCAAAACAATAATTCAAATTTCACTTTTCTAGTAATTATCCAGATAAAAGGTCGAAGGAGGGGCCAAACGGATTACCACAAGGTGTTGCAGGAAACTTAGAACTGATTCAAAGTACAGTTGTCAGCACACAACCAGTATGTGCATTTGATTGGAGTCCAGACAGAACTGGTTTAGCCATATGTGGTTCTTTTGATCAAACAGTTAGAGTAATAATTGCCACAAAACTTAATTTATTATAAAAACTTTGAATTGTTGACAAATAATAGTCACGTACTGGCCACATACAAGACCTTAGGTTATAGCTCCTGCCGGAATTATACAAATCAACATCTGAGCTTTTCATACATTGTACAAAATGAAATATATCTGCAATAAATAAATATACAAATATTTTATTGCTAATCAGTGTGTATTTTATTAGGATCTGTAAATCGAGATGTGAGAATATAGAAAACAGCTGGTAGTGGTACCAGGGTCAATAAAACAAAGGGATGCGGCACACCTTTATCTATAGTTAGTGCTAATAATCCATAAGCAAGTATAATCCAATGCCCCACTGAAAGAAAAATTGATTCAAATTAGATTACACAAAATATAATTTGTGAGAATAAGATATTAATGATTGTGAAATGTTCAATTAATTTGTAATCTATATTTATTTATCATTTTATTATGTGAAGAATGGTTAAGAATTAAAATGAAATGATTCATTGTTAAATCATGACGTTAACTAAAAAATGAATGATTTAACATGGAAATTGTTCAAATACTAATGCAATATCATAACCTACAAAATGCTGTACAAAATTCAACCTACTGATGATAATAGCATTCCTCAAATCAGCAATCGAAGATCGAATTAAATCCTTCATTGATTGATCCAGTTTGAAAGAGAAATGTGTAGCATTTGATACAACAGATAAGATAATGGTTATGTATGGAAATGCATAGTCTGAAAATTAGTTATATATAGTATGATATTAGATAATATTTAGTAAATAATATAAGGTTCACTTACATATCAAACCACCAGCAACGGCATGTAACAAAGCCAATATTGGAAAAAAATAAAGTGCATAATATATAGCCATCTTACCAGTATGTGGTAGATATTTTTTACTCAAATATGGTCTTATAGAAAGCATTAAAACTATGCAAAGTCCATAAAATACAAAACCCATAGTATGTCTGAAATGCAATTATTATATAGAACAATCTATATTTATTTCTCATAACGTAACATCATAATGATAATTTTCAGTTAGACCAAATGAGAACAGTGATTACAATGCATAATACATTTACATTTGAGTTATCATTTAACTTACAATGGATAAACTGCTTCCTGTGTGCAGTGAAGTGCCTTTTCGTAATTTGGGGTAGGATTGTGAAGCAAAGTGTACCAGTCGGCTAAGCGAACAACACCACAAGATTTAACTCTAAATGACCAAGTAGGTTCCACCCACAATATAGTGAAAAATGCAGCAATTCCTACCTCAAATAAACAACTCAAATGTAGGATGAATACTTGGATGCTGAAACTAAATGAAATTTGCATATAAAAAGCTATTTTTATATTCAATTCTGTAGATAAGAAGTTTACAAAAATCCATTAATTTTTTTAGCATAAACTTATTCATTCTAATAAAGTCAGAAATAAAACACTTTTACTCTAGGCAAAAGTAATTGTCATTAAACTTTCTTATCATAATAGAGTACTTTCCTCGAAACTTATTACTTTAAGTTTTAAAAATAACTTGAGCAATGAGCAAGTATGATAAGAGTGTATTATTTTGTAAAGTAAAAAATAAAATGTAATTTCAAATTTTAATCACTTTAGTTAAGTAATTTATTTACAAATTCAGCTCTTTTAATACATTTATATATTAACCTTCTTCGTTTAGCGACAAGATCTACACAAAACCAATGCAGTACTAGAGGTAGAAGAACCATGAATCCTAAATACATCCAATCATATAATTTAGGATCGGCTTCGCATAGATTGCAAATAGAGCTTGCATTTGTGCGCGACCCTCTTGGACAAGCACCACATTCAGACCAACTTTCATTGTCGAAAGTTCGTCCACAATATAAGCCAGGACAACGTTGATTTTGATTGAGCATCAGAAACTAATAGTTCATTAAAATAAGAATTAAAATTAATTTTTATATTTGTGCATTTTATTAATGTTGTTTGTTTTTAAATTTCACAATTATTTTCAATGAAATAATCTTTGATTTATAATATCAGTTTATGACATATAAATGGATCTTGAATTATCTTTAAAAGTTATTAAATATTTTGAACAAAGTGACTAAATATTATTGAAGAACAATTTCGTGTTGAAACAAATATTGCAATAACTTTTTAACCCACTGTCGGCTTAAGTCAACGATTTTTCAAAACATGTCAAATGCTAAAGTGTCAACACAATTAGAGTTGTATTTGGTGGAAAAATTTCTCAACAATTTTGGTTCAACTTTCCATAGAAAAATAGGCATTTAAATCGGAAATGATAATGATGGTCAGATTTGGTAAGATTATGATGATCAGATTCAGCTCTTCTAAGATCATGTTAAACTAGTTGTATTGATATTTTGCCTTTTTTTTTTTTTTTTTTTTATACTTTATTTAATAGCAATCAGAATTTACAAAATTCTATGAACTATTATGCTTATGTTATAAACACACTCACACAGTAAACATACTCACACACAGTCATACACACACACATAATAAATTGGCTGAATTTTAAAAGTTTCAATAGCTGCCACTCCATCGAGTGGTCAGCTAATCTGGCTGAGGTGATATTTTGCCTTGAGGCAAAATACATGAACTTTCCGATATGTGTAAATAATCGACTTAATCAATGAAAAATAAATTAATTTATGAGTGATTAAATGTATTCCGAGTGGATTTATTACACTTGATTGAAAACGAACAAACACGTATTTAAACGTAAACGAACAACTCGAAGTATTTTCTAGAAGCAAATTTTCAAAAATCAACAATTTTGCTCCCAACCAATATCTATCGAATGGTTTTTGAATTTTCAAAATCGATTCAGAACTACGGGCTAAAACGTGGACGAAAAATTTTTCACTTTTTTGCTATTAACATAGAAACGGCTTGGCTGATCGTCGCGCAAAGTTGATAAACGCTAGTCCTCATCGAGATACATGGAATGGCTTTTAAATTTTTAAAATCGATCCAGCCGTTTTTGGCAAAACGTTGATTTACTGCGAAAAATCTGTTCACACATTCATACACATACTTTTTCCAAATTTGGTCTCATTCGATTCAGAATGGCTTGAAACGTTGAGAAAATATAGCGAATTAACGAATCGGATTTTTTGATGAAAACATAAACTTCTCCTTCGGGAAGTTAAAAATTATGAACCGGTAGCTAGCCATCTTATTAAATTCAGAATTCGAAAATGACATTTGTTAATACTAGTGCTGTAAAAAGAGTGCATACATTTGAAAATTTAATGGCAAATAATTAAACATATTGAAACTTTAAATAAAATGTATCGTTTAAAGAAATTGAATGATTAACTGTTATTATCAGCAAAATATATAGATATTTATTTCTAAAAATATATTCAACGGCTCAACATAACCAAAAACTAAAATATTTTTTTTATCAGCTATGAGAATTCGCTAATATTAATATATTATGAGGGTTCGAAAAACTATTGCCCTATCAGGCACTTTATTATTTTTAATAGGATGTGTTTTGTTGTATTTAATGATGGATCAAACAATAACACCAAAACCACAAATTCTTAAATATGAAGATGAAAACAAAGTATGTACTAAAAGTAGAATTCATAAATCATTTAAAATAGATGTGTAATATTTGTAACATTTTAGTGAAACAACTAGAAAAAGCATCTTAATTACATTAATTGATGATATGTAGAGTTTCCAATTACAAAAACAAGTTGCTGTAATATGTATAGCTAAAAATTTCAATTTTGCTGAAACTGCATTTTATTGCAAACAATTTGTAATGTCAATGTCAATGTTATTAAATAAAGTATTATTAAAATCTGTATATATATATATATGTAATCGATATACAAACTCTCAGTAAATAGTCCAGTCTTTAGAAAGCATTAATAAAAATTCTATTCGAATAGTTGCATAGAGACAATATTACTATACTAATTAATAACACAGGGACAATTAACACGTCTAAATATACCTGATTTCCTAAAGCCACCTAATGCCTAAAAGCCTGTTACAGTCATCTTCATGCTTGATCGAATGCTCTTTGTTGTGTTTGTGTTTGAGTCTTTTTTCTGTCAAACTATTGTTTTTTTTTATTTTTTTGCCTTGAATTATTTTAACAAATCTAACAATTTGTAAAATGTCTTTAGAATAAATGGTTGAGTTTTGAAGATAGGTTACGTCAGCTGGAAGCTGGTCTAAGCTCCCATCATGCAGATGTTATAGAAATTAAACAAGTTGTAAAACAGCTTAAAACTTCTGATAAACATAAACAATTTGATTTTAAGGGAGATACATTGCCTAATGGAGTGTCTAATATGCAGGTGTTTATGTACTTCGCTTTTTAGATCAAGAATATAATTTGTATCATAATATAAAATACTATCAATTAATTATTTTCTATATGCTTTTTAGAAGATTCAAGATTTACTAGTTGATCAGGAAATATCAGGTTTGACATGTCCATCACTAGAAAATGATGTTCCCCATTCAGATGTTCAGGTCTGTATTAAAAACATTACAACACTTATTTTAATCTTATTAGTCTTATTACATTCACATAATAAATGGTCATTTATTATACAAATATTTATTTATACAAATTCATATAAGTAGTATTATGAATGTAAATTGTTTTGGATGGGTATTAATATTTGTCATACACAGATGCTGCAAATGTATGAACGTCTCCGATTTGACAATCCAGATGGTGGTGTTTGGAAGCAAGGATGGAACATACAATATAAGCCAGAACAATGGAATAGGGGTCATGTATTAAAAGTTTTTGTGGTTCCACATTCTCATAATGATCCAGGGTGGATAAAAACACTTGATGAATATTTTACTGCACAAACAAAGAAAATATTAAATAATGTCATCACTTATTTACAGGTTTGTTTCGTTTCTAAAATTAACAGTCTGTTTTTTATATTAAATACATAACTTTATTAAAACTTTATGCATCTAAAATTTTTCAATTTTTATTAACAAATGCATACTTTTTAGAAAATGCTTAAATAGTTATCATTACTTTTTACAATCATATAATATAATTTTTTTATTTAAAAAAAATGCAGGAAGAACCAAGCAGACGCTTTATATGGGCTGAAATTTCTTATTTAGCAATGTGGTGGTCAGAATTGACAAATGAACAGAAAAAAGTTACTAAATGGTAAATATTTTTCTCAAATATAAATTGTTACACATTAGCATTTGTGATGAATGATATGTACAATATGCGTTTTCCAATAATGTGGTTTATATAATAATTTGATTATTTATTGTCTGTAACATTTTTCATATGGTGTAATTTAGAAAACTGATATTTAAATAATCTAATTTATATTTTTTGAAATATTTTGTTTAAAGGTTGATTCAGAGAGGGCAGCTAGAAATAGTGAATGGTGGCTGGGTTATGCCTGATGAAGCAAATAGCCACTGGGTGAATTTAGCTTGGCAACTAACTGAGGGACATCATTGGTTAAATAAAAACTTAAACATGACCGATTTTCCTGTGGCAGGTTGGTCTATTGATCCATTTGGATTGAGTCCTACAACAGCTTTAATTTACAAACAAGCTGGACTAAAAAATTTAGTAATCCAAAGAGTACATTATTCCCTCAAGAAGCAATTAGCTATGGACAAGAATTTGGAATTTAGATGGCGACAACTCTGGGGTTTGTTTAACTTATTAATTATTTAATAACGTTTGTCTAATTATTTTAATACTATATTCAAGTTATATTGAGTAATTGAACACAAGGTATATCATATTTTACATAATCTTTTATGCAATAATATATATTTCTATAGTATTGTGATTTATGAATAATATGAAGTTATTGTTGTTTTTTCAACAATGTTATAGGCTTAATTTTGTAAGTCATATTAATACTTAACACTATTCCTACCAGGACCGGTCAAATGACCTTTTTGATTTTTACTTAAAAACTTATATTTGTTTAAATAGATGCACCAGGAAAGCAAGATATTTTAACTCATGCCGAACCATTTTACTCATATGATATTCCCCACACTTGCGGACCAGACCCAAAAATTTGCTGTCAGTTTGATTTTAAAAGACTTCCTGGATATGGTATTACATGTCCTTGGAGAATACAACCACAACGAATAAGTGAAAAAAATGTTGCTCACAGGTATTTCCAAGTTTTTTAAACATTTTTTTATTGGGAAGCTTTTGTATTCAATTTATATATATGTAACTGTTTTGGTTGTTTTACATTTATTTTCCATTAAAACTTGTTGTTTTACACAAAATATAAAAAATATTTTCTTGGTGATATATTTAAAGAATCTTTCATTCTCATGTATTCCAATCCCTTATGGCGGATTTTCAAAGAATACAATAAAAGAATCTTTAAACTTTTTTATAACTTTTCCATAGCCAACAGCCATATTTTAGAAAAAAATGCTCCTGAACTTTTTATGCTTTTGAGATTTTCAATTCAGCTGCGGGATTCAGAATA